AGAGAGTTCAATTAACTCGGGTAATTTTGGTACTAAAACTGGATTTGCTACCGCTTCAGTTTCTTCAGGTATTAAAGAAGTATCTACTTTTGCACGTTTAACAGCAATTGCAACTGCTGCTTCCTAATAAAATAACAATAGGAAAATGTTTAAAAAAAAATGTTATATTTAAATTAACATACTATTCAATTATATATATATATAAAATGTAACTTACTTGTTGACGTTTTTTAATGCGCCTGACATCTTCTGGCTTAGGATAAGCTTTGATAATTTCTTGTTCTTTGGCACCAAGCTGAGCTAATAACTTAGCAATAGTTGAAGCAAATTCTATTCCAGATGGATGTTTCATTAATCCAAGTAGAGTAAGTTTCAATTGCTTTTGTACGCTTGTTACTTGAGAATCGGACAAGGTTGGAGGTAAATCATGTTGTAACTTCTGTAAAGCTGATAAAAATTACCTAATTTAATTTATGTTTATATTTTTGTTATTTCATCAAATCAATGCATTAAAGTACCTTGAATTACACTAGACATAAATTGTGGTCTAGTTTTAGCAATTAAGGCCAAAGAACCCATACATGTCATTAAATTGACACTACTGACATGTGGGGATCCATGAAATTTAATAAGTAAATCCATTACATGGTTTGCTTCTTCTTCTAATTTCCTTCTGCGAGCTATCTTTAATGTCAATGGAATATCTTCAAGAGAAAAATCATCTGGTTTTTTTGGGGCATCTGAATCTGGATAGGTTTGAATCAAAACAACTCCCTCTAAAAATTTAACTGCTTGTGTTCTAATACTGTAATGTAATGTTTTTAATAATAATTTTATCAATCTGTTTGTTTGATTTATAGATTACTTTGATTTGTATAGATTACTTACCCATCATTATCACTATCTATCATATTAATAATTTGAACTTTTAGGCAACTTAGTTGAGACCATGCCATTTCCATTTCTAATGTTACAACAGCAGCATAAGAGATCCATTTTAAAGCTGCTCTAAGAATTCTTCCACTAGCTCGAAGAGCTCTTTTAGCTACTACCGGTGCTTTATCTGAGACAAGCCTTAATAGTACTGGAACTATTCGTGGTATTGTTTCTGGTTGTTTTACACTAAAATTTATATTAAGTATTTGCGTTAAATATATAGACATATACATTACTTAGATATATATTATGAAATTAATTTGGTAAAAAAATATATCTAGTAAAATATTATAAAATAATATTAATGATAATTACCCTGCTTCTTCAATAAACCCTGTAACTGTCTTTCTCACTTCAGCAGTTCTGTCTAAAGAAAATTGTATAGTTTCATCCAAATACAATGGAAGTAATTGAAGTTCCTTATTACATAAAATTTCTTGGACTTTACATAAATTAGAAACTTTTACATCTACATCAAGGCACGTAGAAGCTTCATTCAACCATTCAACAACCTGAAAATGAATAAATTTTACAATAAAATTTATAAAAATTTACACAACATCAAATAGCAATGTATACAATTATACATGTATATATGTAATTAATGTCATATTAAAAAGTGAGGTTATATTACTGACCAAATCACCCGGCCCTTTTTCCTGTTCTGATCTTCTGTGTATTCGTGGATCCATCTTACTTGTAAATAATACGAAAATAAAAAAAATGTATTCTTATTAAAATATTAATGTAAAGAAATAATCTTCCAATATTACATAAAAAATACACATAAGGCCACTAATCTCATACAGACTATATTATTTAAAAATAAAACATTTTTTTATATATTATAAAAAAATGAATTTTCGTTATATTTTATAACGTGATTTATATATTTTATCATATATTTATGATAAATAAACAACAACGTATTCTTAACACTCTACTAAAAATTCACTTCTTCCGCCATTTTGAAAATTATACGGAGTTCTTACTATTAGTAGAAAAATTAAAAACACACTGATAGTGATTGGATATTACCAAACAAGCGGCAAAAGATAACCAATTATCGTCGAAAAATTTTAAATTAAAATTTCATATTGAAAATGATGAAATTAATGATAAACATAATAAACAGTATAAACAAATATTATTCACTTAAAAAGTAATCTTGTATAAGATCCTATATAGAAAGTAATCCTATACATAATTGAACTTTATTTAATTACTGATTATGTCCATCCTGAACTACAATAAAATTAAAAACATTAATATACTATTACATCATTAAATTATTTAATTTTTATTATATATAATAATATATACTAAATATCCTCCTCTGATAAGCAATTAATGCAATCGTAAAAATTAAGATAAAAAAAAAAAGAAAAACCCCCACACGAAAAGCGCAAAATTTCAAGAATTAATTTTCTAATTATCCCCACCTCTTTCTCCTTCTCCTCCTCCTCCTAATTTTATTTTATTCATTTTTTATTTATTGTATTTTTTTTTCAATAAATATTATTCTCCCTCCTCCCCAACCCTATCTTCCTTTATTCTCATATAACGCGTACAAAACATTACGCTTGGTCGAAAGGGGGTTAGCGAAGGGGGGGGGGGAGAAATTTCGCAGTCTTTATATAGGAAAAACATACGGGACGGGGACGGGGGTCGGGGGACGGGGGATGGAAAATGAAACAAACTTCGTCACGTGAAAATCTCGGACGCGATTCATGGCGTTACTCGATACGGAATATTAATTGCCGGTTATATTGGTTTCTCATGGATTACGTTATGTATCGTGAAAGCGTGACTTGGAACTAGCCAGTGCCTGAGCTTTTGCGCTTGCTTTTGCGCTTGCTTTTGCGCTTGCTTTTGCGCGAACGCAAATATTCGTGTACCAAACGCAATGCACGTTTTCCTCTTTCTCTGTCTCTGTCTCTCTCTCTCTTTCTCTCTCTCATATACCCACCAACCAACCAACCAACCAACAGACACTTTACGAACGAACGGAATTCAAAACTGCCTTTTTGTCCGAGCAAAGCTTTTTGTTTTTATTTCTCGCTTCATCATTCTCGTTTGTATCTCCTTGTTCTATATTCTTGTATCTCATTCGTCGTTCCTATTCCATTTTCACCCCCCACCCCGCGANATAAACTATTGTTTGTTAATATTAAATACAATTAGAAAGATTTTGTAAATATCGATAAATAATTAAATATATAATACCTGATATTTTACTTTTTTATACATTCCATCTCTTAATCACATTAGATAATTAATCATATTTTCCTGATTACTTTGTAATTAACGATTTGCTAACATAGTTTTTATAGTATGATAAGAACTTTTGTGTAAATATATATATATATTATCCGCTTACAACTTATAATTTAAAGTTTAATTACTCTAATTATTATTATTTTAATGCGCTTAAATAGTTTAAAAAATCTAATAACCAATGAAATGTACACATTTATTAATTTGTTTATAATTAAAATTATTTAAATTGTTGAGGTGGTGGTCCGAAGATACTACCACTTTGTTTACTAGCCGTTCTTGAAGGAGCAAAACCAAGCATCTTTTGAATATTCTGTAAATGAAATTATTATTACATATAATTGATATGACAGATGTATTCGTATAATTGTTTGTACGTACTTGTCTAATGCTCATAGTACAAAGTATATATAGAAATATAAAAGAACACTCTGTATAATCATCGCCTGGTAAATTTCTATGCGATAAACCTTGTATCCAACTTATTGGTACAAATGGCAATTTTGCTACTACTCTGCCATCAAATATACTGTTAAACATACTTAAAAGGGCAGTAAATGCGAATCCAATTGCAAACATAGATTTCATTTTGACAAGCGATAGATCTCTATTATTATTCTTAAGCCTTTCTTCTTCTCGTTCTATTTTCTTTTTTTGTTGTTTGTCCAATGAATCACCATGCGCTTCTTTTCTTTTTTCCACTAAATATAAAATAAAATTTATATGATAACATACAAAATCCTATACTTTCATTATATTATAAAATTTGTCATTTTACATTTTTTACTCTGTTTCTCTACTTCTGCTTTTAATTTCTGATATTTTTCAGTTCTGTAAACCATCAACCATGTCAGTCCTGAAAATATAAAGGTAAAAATAATATTATAATAACAATAATCATAACAAAACCAAGTATATTTATTTTATAAAATATTATAGAAAAAAAGTTTAATTCACTGTAAATATGGTTCAAACTTACCTTCACCCAGTAATGCTGTACATACACTAATGAAAACAATTAAGATAGTGTCTGCCCACATTTTATTATATACAAATAAATTTTCTGACTCAAATAATTTCTACAAATGATTCAATACAATAGAAATAAAATTATTGTTTTTTACGGAAACACAATACTGAATGCGATGGTATTATTTCTGCACACATATGTAATGCATATGTATGGTATGCATGATTTTAGTTATCAGCAGTATGTCGGAAAAAATTTAGGGAAGTATCAGATGGTCCTAAAATAAACTAGCTTGTGTGATCGAATTGATTTGTTTCTTTAATTGTATAAAAAGAAAGTATATTATCCATTCACTTAAAATAAGAGCATAATATAAAATTAAGAGTCAAAATAAGTAATAACTTATTATTTTTAGCGAATAACATAATCATATAAAACCGTAAAGATTTTCCTCTTCATACGATTACCAATGAAATTGTTTTTAATACTTCATTCTATTAAAATTCTAGATACTTGAGATAATTACCAGCCAATAAACTAAAGACTATATCATGTAATTGTCCAATCACATAAGTAACAATATTTTCTGCAGTTTTAGAACGAATCTATCCACGAATATGTATTCATCTAAATAGAATATTAACATGCATTTATTTATAATCGATCTTAAATATAATATTGTAAAAATGTCTTATTTAAGAAATATAATTTTGAAAACCTAAGATTCTTTATATATACTAGGTATTATCGTACATTTAGATTATTCATTCAATATAACTCGAGATATGTGAGACTTCAGCGATGGATGCGGGTAAGAAGCTAACTAAAACCATGTTAGGAGAAACCTGCCCTTTTCAAATATACCTATTAACATGTTTATCATTAGTTGATAAACTAATGTTACAAAAGGTCAGACAGAATTATGTACATGATATTTATTCTAACATATTCAGATAAATAAAAAAAAATTATATTCATTTACACAAAACATCATGCCTTGTCATTTATCTAATTGCAAGTACACAGATTATACGTATATTCCGAAGAATTTAATAAATAAGAAGTTTTAGTTGTTTGTTAGACTTAGGTTATTTGATGAATTGTGTATTTACATTTTTATTATTTTAAGTTTGGATTATAACTATATTATTTCAAATTTTTATTACAAAATTATCAATATGGCTTATTCAAAGAATTTAGATAATCGAAAAATTATATGTATTGGATTAACTTGTCTTGACATAATACAAACATGTACATATTATCCTCCTGAAGATTCTGATCATAGGTATATATATGTATATATATATATATATATATTTTTTTTTTATTAANCATAATACAAACATGTACATATTATCCTCCTGAAGATTCTGATCATAGGTATATATATGTATATATATATATATATATATTTTTTTTTTATTAATTTATAACAATACAATATTTATTCGATAATCTAATACTTACTTATTGAATACAAATGTTTAGGTCTGTTGATTATAGATGGCAAAGAGGTGGAAATTCGTCAAATACATGTACTGTCCTTTCTTTGTTAGGAAGTCCATGTGAATTTTTAGGAGTATTAAGTAAAGAAGAGCATATTAATTTTTTAAAAAATGACATGAAAAAATATAATATTGATTTTTCTAATTGCCCAGAGGTTGAAGGTTATAGATGTCCTATATCAACAATTATATTAAGCTTAAGTACTGGAACTCGTACAATTTTACATTATAATCCTAATCTACCAGAAATAACATTAGAAGACTTTGGATGTCTGAAATTAAAGAATTGCAGTTGGATTCATTTTGAAGTAGGGATATAACATTCGATTAATATTTTTAAATGAACAATTTTAATCATTATTTTATGTATTCAGGGCAGGAATATAACACAAGTTTTAGCTATGATGGAAACTATAGAAAAATATAATAAATTTATAAAATGCATGAATAAGCAAGCTGACAAAATAATGAATAAACAATTTATGAGAATTACTGTTAGTTTAGAGTTAGAGAATCCTCAACGTGAGTTATTACTTTTATTACCATATGCTAATATAGTATTTATATCAAAAGATTTTGCACAAAGCAGAGGATGTGATAATATGGATGAAATATTGGAAAATATCGGTGCAAGAGCTAGACCAGGGTAAAAATTAAAATATAAATTTAGAATTATATGAAATAAAGTATATTTTTTTGTTATGATACTTTTTTAGGACAATTCTTATTTGTGCTTGGGGTGATAGAGGTGCAATGGCACGTGCCCCGGATGGAACTACAGTAAAATCTCCAGCTTTTCCGCCAGAAATAATAGTAGACAGTCTTGGTGCTGGGGATACATTTAATGCAGCAGTTATACATTATTTAAACAAAGTAAAAATTTCTGCTGAAAATGAAGAAAATGACCCTTTAAATAATCCCATTGAAACTTCAAACATTGGCTTCACGAAATTTAATGATCCAAATGTTCTACAGGCAGCTATAATTTTTGGTTGTCATGTAGCTGGTGCCAAAATAGGAATGAAAGGTTACGATGGTCTTTTAAATTACAAATAAATTTGTAAAAAAAACATGCAGATATTAATTTTATACGGTTCGGTTTTTACCGTTTAGTTAAAAAAAATGCACCGACTTATTGGCCAACCTAATATTTGTGGTACAATATTTTAATAAAATAAATTTAAGATATGAATGTCACGTATATTGTGTGTGTGTGTGTGTGAGCATTTTTATAATTAATATTTTATATTTAATATGTAATACAGAGATCTGTGATATTAGATCTGAGAGAGAACGGAAACACCAAGGAACCAGAATATGTTATGACGTTCTCTCAGATTCTATCATATTGATATAAAATATTTTATCATAACTGTTATTATAGTAATAAGTATTGTGGAAATATAATATAATCAAATATGAGGATTTTATTTGTAAATAATTTTATAATAATATGCAAACATTAATAAATTTTTATAAATATGTACATTTTTTATAATAATATAAAGATATACTTTTTTATAATGGTATAAATATATATATATGTGGTGTATAAAAATTATTTGTTGTTGCAATAGATGATGATTTTCTTTAAATTAATAAGATTACTGATAGAATACTAACATATAATTGTTGCATAAATTATATATAAAATGTGTTAATTAGTATCCTGGAAATACTAAACAAAAAACCTGATATATCATTGCTTATTATTAACTGTTTAATCTCTCTCTCTCTCTCTCTCTCTCTCTCTCTCTCCCTCCCTCTCTCTCTCTCTCTTTCCCCCTCTCCCCCCCTCTCTCTCTCTCGTTGCAAATAAATATATATATATATATATATATATATATGAATCTAATAAAAATTGATTTAAAGCTTACATTTATCAGCAATCATTTGTCATATCTTGACAAGTTCTTGCTTCACTGTATTTATCTGCCAATGCTTCTATTATATCCAGCAATAACTCTTTACTTAGTTGCTTCAATCTTGGTAGCCTTGCAACCTTATAATATAAATAATATTCCAGGTAATAGAATTTATGTAATAATAGTATTAACTTAAAAAAAAATGTATGTTATAAAATTATACCTTACTGTAATGATGCACTATAAGATTTAATGCATATTTCTTTATGTCACTAGCCTGCATTCTATCTGCAGCTTCTAAAATTTGTATAACATTTTCAAAAGTAACATTCATTTCTAAATTTTGTTTACAAAATGCTTGTAAACGATTATTTGTAAAACCGTAAAAAACTGGAGCTGTAAATAAATACAATGAATCTTCAGGAGGCATTGAAACATCCGCGTAATATATATATCTCATTAAAGAAGCAAATGATTCTGCTGATGGAATCATCTCGCCAATTTGTATCTGTAATAAATGATTAATATAAAAAATTCATTATTTTATATGAATTTAATAATAAATTTGTTACCCACATTAACAATATTATTTTCAGGCATGAAGGAACGAAACATGCCTTCAAAATAAGTGCATCGTGCTGCGAGAACAGCTTTATGTGCTGGTATGTGGACACCATCCAACATCAAAATAATATCACAGAATTCCTTACCAATACTTATTAAAAATGCCTCCATATCTTGTTCTAAGGTTGTTCCTGGTATAAAATTCAATTAATATTGAAACATATTTGAAATTAATTAAAGAAAAAAAGAAAAAACATACCTGTTTCAGATTCATATTGTTTGAAAATATTTCTCCCTTGTGGAACTTGTCGTTTTCTAATAATTTCAACCATTAATGGTTGATCCAATGTCTCAAATTCTTGACTCATAACGATTTGATTGTAATTACTTTCTTTAACAATAAAACTAAGACAAAATTCTTTAATGAAATATAATTTCAAATGTGCAGCATTGTGTAATGCTTCTAAAACATTAGCATGACTTATGGTTGCTTCTAAATAATGTACACATAATTGTTCTAAACGTTTCATATTAAATTGAACTGCAAGGCGATAAACATCCATCATAAGAAGAACGATGCCATTGCTTAAAGGATCATCAAATCGACTATTTGATGTATCTTCTAATCTTTTCGTAGGATCGATACGATCCGTGTAGATATAATTTAATACCATTTCAAAAGCTTCTGGAACAGCATCTTTTAATTTTACCTACAAACATAACTTCTTATTGTACACTGTCTGATACAAAAAAAAATCAGATCTTTGAAATAATAGATATAAATATAGTTAAAAAATACCTCTAATAAAGGTAAATCTTTAACTGGTACATCCGCAGAACCTAAAACTTCTTCCAAATGTTTTTCTCTTTTTTCATGTGCTTGTCTAATACGTGCTCTTAAAAATTGAGAACGAGCTGCAACCATAGCTATGTGTGCAGGTATTTTTGTTTCACCTTCACCTACTACAAATACTACATCACAGAATAAACGAGAATTTAACAGTTTTCCAAAATCATCATGAAGGGTGCACTTAGGGTACGAAGAAAATTGAAATCTGTATGTTTCTCCTGAACGTACATTGTTATCAACAGTACCACCAAATATAAACATGGCTTCTCCAATTACTGCTGCAGCGTGAAAAAGGCGACCAGATGGTATCTTTAATAGTAATAATAATTGTGATATAACAGTAAATATAAAACTAAATTCTATAAAATAATTTTTAAACAAACCTGACTGTCAGCAGACGGTAATACTATACTCCAAGTTTGTGTGTCCAAATCGTAACAGTGAAGATCATTTGGTAAAGTTGAATCAGCTGCTCCACCAAAAACATAGAGATGTCTGTCAAAGCTTACCATTGTGTGACCATATCTACGTGGAGGTGGTGGAGGTGCACCACGAAGTATGTGCTCTGTTGATATACGAGTCCAACTAATAAAAATCGAATAATCAAATATAAAATATTAGATTTTATATTATGTCAATGTTATAAAATTTTAAAGATATATTTACCGCCTATCTCTAAATTGAAATTGAAAAAGACTATTCGTAATTTTAGCTCCACTCTGTCCACTAAATACAAACATCGATTCACGAGCTACAGCAACAGGAAAGTTGCAGCAAGTTGGAGGGCAGTCTCCAGATTGAGCTACTTTTTCCCAAATACGTGTATCACCAGGCTGCAAAAAATACACATCTTTCAAGCTAGTGGAACTACTAAACATATTCAAATTATAAATCTTACCAATAAGGATATTGTCCACATGTCATTAAGCCGCGCATTTCCATCATATCCAGCAAAAATCCACAATTTATTGTCATATACAGCAGCACCATGCGCAGATCTTGCAACAGGTGTTCTACACGATGGCAAATGTTTTGATCAAATTTAAAAATGATGCTATTAAATGCAATTATTGATTAACATTATGATAACATACACTCCAATAAATTTCCATTCTGTCCACTGCCCAGTTAAAAAATGATATTCAAAAAGATCATTTTTATTAGTAAGATTTGAATTTGAATGTATATCACCGGTATAACCACCAAATACAAACATCGAAGTATCATGTACTACTGCTGAGTGATGATAACGCGGTGCTGGTGGAGTTCCTGTAGCAAATGAACGACCCCATGATTTTTCTTTTACATCAAAGCGTAACAGATCATTTAACATTCTTGAACCATTATCACCACCAAAGACATATATGGCATCTTTGTATGCCACAACTGTATGTTTGCTGCGCCTGTCAAATAAAATGTTTGTGTATATAGTATTTTAGATTTAATTAACATTACTTTTTAAATGGTATTTTAATGCAAGTAATAAGTGATTGAAAATGAATTTACCTAGCGCCAACAAATTCATCACATTCAGGCATACATTGCCAACGATGTACAGTTTCAAAAGGTCCAAAATCAAGTGTCAAACATTCAGCAGTTGTCACATTATCCATTTTAATTTTTCAAAATATTAAACTTATGAAATTAACACCATACTTAACCTATAAGCTATATACAAGGAGGACGATCGAGATACGCGTTTTTGTCGAATTTGTGTTGTTCAAAATAAGGAAATACCGAGTACGATAATTCTCCACGAGGACGGCGGTGGTGTCACCAAGCTTTTAACTCAAAAATATCGAAAAAAAAGCGAAGTTCACGTAACTAATTAATAGCCCGTAATTTTATTAGTTTATAAAAGCTTATAAGAAAAAAAACAATATTATTTCTATTAAATAAAATTTATAATCTTATACGAAAGAATATTTATTGCTATTAGAACAGCTACTCCGTTAATTATTAATCGATTAATCTTCTTACAACTCAACAGGTTATTTTATATTGTTGATTTTGTGTAGTATTATTCACTTTTATACTAATTGAGTTAAAGATAAATTGATTCCATTTCACAATTTTTTTACAGATATATAGGATGATTTATCGACATTTTTTTCATGCTATTGTTATTTTTTCTTGACTTTCTGATATCATAACCAATTATTCCATTTTCTTTAATTTATAATTTTTTATTTACTTCGTCGACTTATTTATTTATTTTTTTCCTAAGTTAAAGGTAAGTTTTTTCATATTTGAAAAATCAGATCCAGCGAATCGACGCGTTCTCTAGTGGCAATAGAAATCATCCTCTCATACCGTATATATGTAGACACATTTACAACACTACGATCGGCCTCTTTGATATAGCTCTGTTTCTACACATTTTAACTCTTATATTGAATTATCAATAACACGGAAAGCGCCATGCGATAATCGCGCTGACACTGATGCGATATATGGACTGTTTATTTTGAAAGTGATGTAAGTCCATTTGTACTCTGTAAATATACATTATTTTAGTTAAATTAGACTAAAAGAAATACATAAAATCCAATTACATATCGACGAATTAATAGAAACATTTCCAGACTTTACATAATTAATGAATATTTTTGAATTGACCAATATGCAAACCTTTAATTTTCTCGAAACAACAAAAAATGGACTTGCACCACTTTCAAAATAAACCATATCCATAAAAATCCATATCGTAAGAATCAATAGTTTTAATAATACTGATACAAATAATTAATTACAATATGAGTAAGAATATTTTATGTGTAATATATTTTTTTGCATAAGAATATACACAAAAAAAAGAAATTAATAAATTTAATTTAGTTTTTATATTTTGTAAAATATTTTATATTTTATTCATATATATAATACCTTAATGTAATAAATACTTATATCAAATCTTTGTTAAATGTACATACATATATACATATAAATCCTTGTTTGACAATTATTTATTTCATGTCAACGTATATATCGGGTATATCATAGACATGTCTTTTTTTTCTAAAATCCATTGTTTAAAAAGTTTTTCGACATCTTCAGATTGTATCTGTAAGTTTATGTACGTCAACAATATTTTTGATTATGAATAAAAGTTAAATAAATAAATTCATTATCTGAATAAATAGCATAGTAATGATATACAATTAAGAAATTACCTTATCAATGGTGAGGTCAGTGACATTTAATCCTTTTAAAATTTGAGAAATATCTAGTAACCAAAGTTGTGCACTATTTTGAATGATCCATAAATTTATATTAATTGATCCTACTACGTAATGAATGTTATTATAATCACATCTAAAAGATAAAAGTATTTTAATATTTTTCTGAAGATGAAAGTATCTATTTTATAATAAATTTGTCTGTAATATGTAAATGTTATTCAAAATTAAATGATTATAATTTTTTATACTTATAATTTACCTATTTTTAAAACTTTTTCTGACATTGTCTATATTCATATTCCAAGGTACTGTAGTTCTCATTGCAAGATTTTCTGATTTTTGTGTATTTGAGTTTTTCATATTTTCAAGCATACGTAAAAGTCGTTTTTTATTTTTCTTGGATTCTTCATGAAGTTTCTTTTTAAGTTCATCTTTTCTGGCCTTCTCTTTATTTAATTTTTCTTCGCGAGCAAGATCTTGATAATATCCATGTTCTTGGGACGGTAAGTGTTTCCAAATATCTGTTATTTTACGAGCAACTTCTACCGTTGATAGTTTAGGATTTTCTTTCATTACTACAAACAAGTAATAATAATTATAATTATTTTTCTAATATATAGATTACAAATACAATTTATATTAATGATACAAAAAAGAAAAAATGTGCAATATATTTACTTTCTGATCTGATGTCTTTTGCAAATTTTGTAAATGTTGTCTCCATAGTAGAAGAATCATTACTTAATGATACATAGTTTGTACAATCGTTAAATGGTTTTACATCTGTACCACCCTATTAATATAAAAAAAATATACTTATTATAAAATGATATATATATTTATTTTTCGTTAAATTACAAAAAAGGAAAAATGATAAACATACCTTTAAACCTTCTACATGTCCTTTACTCCACATTTTTAATGAATGCTCCTCTTTTTCATTATTTTTTTTATCATGCACCTTATCTATATGTGGATTTATGCTATTTTCTTCATTTAATATAAGATCAATCTCAAAATCTTCACCAAGGTCTACTACAGGCAATTGACTAATGCTTTCATTTATAACATCAACTTGATTATCTAATGTATTTATAGTCTCTTGATTATTAATTTTTTCATCAGTTGAATTCAAATCACGGAGTAATGAATCATTGGTATATTCTGGATTGCTACTGAAATTAAAAGTAATATTTGAATTTCGTTCTAAAGTATATGTCTTTTTAAAAGCTATCTTTTATGTTCTATTAATACTAACGTATTATCATGTTTAAGGTCGTTATTATTCGTACAATTGATATCTGTACTGTTACGTTTACTTGAGTTATGCGAATTTGTCGTAGTGTCTAAATAATTTGCAATAGCTTTTAATTCATCCTCAGAAATATTACATCGATTATCTGTACTTATTAAATCATTTGTCGTATTTTTACTATTGGAGTTGTCTTTAGTAATTTCCGAGTTCAATAATTCAGTCGTATTATTATTAGTTTTTTTTTTAATTGATTCTCCGTTTGTACATTTTTTCGTTTCTTTTTCATCCGTATCAGCTAAAATTTTGCGTTTTTTACATACTGGCAATTCAGTTTCTGAATTATTTGTATTATTTATCGACGAATCTCTTTCATAATTACTTATTTCAGTAGAATTTTTTCTTTTCAGTTCTTCACTTTGTATATCATAAAAATTTATTACAAGTTTGCTTATAATATCAAGAATTATTTGCTAGAATATATATTTTGTTTGTTTTTAATATATTATTATAATTTTTGTATTTTTCATTTAATTTGTAATTGGATAATATATACCTGATTTTTTAAAAGTACTGTATCTTTATTAGGTTCTAAATTAACATCAATATCTGCCGGATCTACCAAAATATACACGAGAAATATTAGTTTCCTTTTTACTGACAGTTTGTTGCTAAAATATTCTGAGATCGTATCATTCACTACCTAATAACAAAAACAAAATATAACATTTTGTTAAATGCTTTTTTTTCTTTTTAATACAATACATTATCATTAAATAATATATTATATTTTAGAGAAAATAATGTGTAATAATGAAAAATATTAAATGTAAAATATCTATCAAAGTTTAATTAATTCTTATAAAATTAAAATCAAACCTTTTCAATATCTTTATATTTAATAGGACGATTATTGATAAAGATGTAACGATGAGTAGTTTCACAAATTTCATTTATATCCTCTAGTCCTCTATCAGGAATCATTAATTGTATTGTAGCCTGAAAGTGCAAATAAAAGTTTTATTAAACATTATTTATAATATTTCAAGTGATTGACTATGATATATATTTCCTTTTTTTTTTAATATAAAATAATGTTATTATATATACCTCAGTATCTTCATGAGTAATCCATTTCATTTTAGACATTATCCGCCTCCCTAGTACATATTGTGCTGCTTCTTTGATATTATCTAGGTTTGGTTTCATAAATATGATATTATTGTTTACTCTATAACTAATTCTCACCGTAAAATTACATATTCCAAAGCTTTTAAGCATTGTTTCTATTAATTTAATATTTTGATTTGCTTTTCTTTTGTCAGTAATTAATTTTCTCCTTACAGGTAATTGTCTAAACATTTGTTTAACTTGAACCGTAGTACCTAATGTAAAAACAAATTATATAAAGTAAGTATAATGATTTACTTGCTTATTATATTATTATATAGTAAGTATACCTTTCGGTCTTGGATATGATTCAGTTGTCATAATATTTCCATCGTTATCCATATTATACAACCTGCCTACTTCATCATTTTCTGTTTTTGTCATAATTACAACATCGCTCATTTTACATAATGCGTTTAGTGCTTCACCTCGAAATCCATAAGTTTTTAACATACCTATATAAATAATATAATAAAGATGATGTTATTATTAATAATGTAAATCATATAAAATAACAATTAAGCTTTAATATAATAATAGCAAGTATTACCCAAATCTTCAAAACACGATATCTTTGAAGTACTGGATGGTAAAGCGATAAATGAGGCATTTACATTTGAAATGCCATCACCATCATCTTTAACTTCTATCATCGATGTACCATTATCAATCTAATAACAATTACAAATATTATAATATGCAATTGAAATAAATATATCAAACTGATTTGTTTGAATGAATTTACTCAAAACTTTTCAATCCACCATCATATAAATGAAAAAGAACATAAAGTGTATATGTATATATAAAAAGAAAAACAGTATAAGTGAATTTTAAATACGTACGAGATTAATTTCAATGTTTTTTGCATTTGCATCAAACGCATTCTCTACTAATTCTTTAACAACGCTATATACAGATGTTATAACTTGTGTAGTGGTTACAAGTCTTATTGTATTTTCATCCAAGCTTGTAATTGACATTTTTGGTCGGCCTAATTTTCCGCTTTGCTAATTTAAAATGTTGTCATGGAATCAAATGGAATAAACAAGCATGAAAAATATATCCAAAATAAAGTTGAGGACGAGTATTGGGATATTTTTTAAAAGTATACAAATAAGTAGTTTTTAAAACAATTAATTAAAATAATCCTTTAATATATATTAATATACAATATTCATTTGTTTGTTGAATAAAAAACAGAAACAATAAATAAGACTTTTTTGTTCATCGTTTAACCTATTTCTCTACAAAAGTGGATAACAATAACCGTATTGGAATATTTCATGAATATTTGGGGATTTTAGATCGTTATGGATGGCAATAATGAGATTTCAAACATTTTGGCGGGATGACAGACTAGTCATTTAATTTGAAATATTATTAAGAATGAAAAAAGAAAAAAACATATTTATATGCAATATATATAATGTTTACAGAAGTATACATGTGATGTAAAAATTATACGGACAAATTTTGGATAATAAAATTCACTAGCAAATTTCTATAAACGATTAAGATCGTTATATTTTATTTCGAAGTAAAGTTTTTTCACTTGTAGAAAATTAAAGGTTCAAAAGGTCGAAGTTTCTGTCGTCGCTATAGACGAGGGTTCGTGAACCCTACGTATGTGAATATCGATTTTATTATTTTTAGAAACCACTTGGAAATGGTCAATGGAATAGTTATTACTCGTTATAACTTTTCTTATCTTTTTTTCTTTCTTCCCCCGTTTATAATTTATCTTATTGTTAAATTTCTTTTTTATATGATTTATGAATACTTTTACAGAAAAACTTTCTTTTAATGTATTTAGAATAATTTCGCTTTGGATTGTTAATTTATAGAAGAAATTCTATGAAAGTATTATAACAAGATAAAAAAAAGATAAACCAGTAAGTATTAAACGTATGCAAGAATAAAATCACGTATAAAATAAATCAATAATTTTTGATCAGGCTCAAAAATCAAAGTAACAGTAAATCCAATGCATTGCTATACTCATGTGAGTTTTACAATGTGCATATTGTCCGCGTATGTATCGAGTGTTATCGACCTTTTTATAAATAAATTGTATTGTACTTATGGACCATCATAGTTCATACGACAACGTCACAAATTCTTTGTTATGCGAGTTCGATCAATTCAATTAGGTATCTCGTTTAAGCAGATAAATAATTTGAAATTCAAACGAATTCGACAGTTTCTATAATTAAATAAAAAAAATGTTCAAATAAGTGATATTCAAATGGTTTTCTCTTTCTTATTCATATATCCTATCACTATCATAGAACATTTTTACGAAGTATATGTAGACATGTATATTGCAAGTATAAATACATCCTGTCTTGAATCAGTTTGATTCTACTCGTTCATTAATCCAGTTGTCGGATATATTCAAAAAAGATCAACAAAAACCGGATTCGTTTTGTTGGTATGTCATGCAAGTTGTTATAAAACATGCTATAATTAGAACTTTATACATATACATTGTTCTCTCATTAATGTATCCTTTTTTTTATTGTTATTTTTTTCTCTATGATATATTCTTTAATTATGCTGATTACTCCTGCTAAATAATTATGCTAATTGCTACTATTAAATAATTATTTTATATGCTGTGAATAATTATATATGCATCCAAGTATTCGTGCTAATATACAGATACAATGATTTGAAATTTATTAAATATTTCTAATATATATTATATCCTATATATTATATATTTTTCCTCGTATTAATTTATTTACAATTTGTTTCCGATAATAATAATTTTATTTATTTAACTAATTTCACATTTATAAATTGAAAATGGTAAAGTTAAAACTCGAAGCGTCGTATTTGTCAATTATGCGAATGACATATATATTTTTATTGACGTCAATTTGTACGATAAATTTAATTAAACATTTCTTACATTAGCATTCAATTGTTCTATATAATAACTCGTTTAGAATATAATTTTATAACACATGGGGAGGGTCATAGTATAAATGTCGCTTGACAAACGACGCATTAACTCTTTTAAAACCTTATAGCATGTTTTATAAAACATATTTTTAGTAAATCTAAAAAGCTTCTATTTTTCATCGGAGTATAAAGTATAATTGAACAAAATTTCATCAAGATTAAAAGAAAACAGTAAGAGAGTTAAAAACAGATTACAAACATTTTTTCTTTCCGAACAAAAAAAAATGATGTCTGTTGAGATGTTTTTGCTTTAAATAAATAATTTGTTTTTATTTTATATACTAAATACATAAATAATTAATCTGTTAATCATGAAGATTTTCTTGATCAATTACCATTAATTTATAAGATGGAATTGTGATTACTAATAAGGTGGAGAACAAAAATCTTTGAATACTGAATAATGGACTAATGATTCGTAAAAAAAAAATGAAGAATTGTGATATATGTGTTATCATTATTTTGTGAAATAACTAGTTAAATCCTGAAATGTTTAAATATAAGAAAAAGAAGAATTACATACTTTAAATAGATGATACATTAATTTACAAACGACGAGTAGTTAAAGTAAAAAATTGAAATTTGATTGATAGATTAGATTCGATAAGCTAACAAAATTTGTTTCTAAAGTACAAAGAAAACTAAGATATGAAAAGATAATTTAATTGAATTATCCAATTTAACCCTGACTTACGTATATAGAATTTTTTTATTAGGAATAAGAAAATTAATAAAACGATAAGAACGTTCGTGACAAACGAATACGTCAATAATCTTTGATTAACAGATTCAAATCAAAATTATCGAAAATAATAATTATTTTGAATGTATTATCGCGCGTTATAATTCTGCCAAGATAATTTTATTTTTTTTTCCACGGATTTTTTATCAAATTCGAATTGGAGTTTGAAAAATTATTTATTTTTTTAGTCACGCAGAGTGAAACGTGTTATTTATAAGGTAGAAAAGATAAATGATATGTTTGGTGATAAAAATATATTCTTAATATTCGAATAAAAAAAATAGAAAAAAAGAAAGAAAGAATGAAGAAGCAAAAGAAACGACCACTTTCTTTTGATTAAGCGAATGATCGCGAGTCAACAATCACAGTCGAGGCGTGAGCTAGTTCCGAAATGAAGTTACGAGAGTTGAATAACGAAACGAGATGCATCCCGTATGCAATGTAGAAAAGAACATTTTGCAGTGGGTGCAGGAAGAGAGGATTCCTGCATCTAATCGCACGTTTCGAACGAAAGTGATTGTGTAATCATTATACATACGTGTAATACCGTATGCATGTGTACGTGTGGATTGTATAACTTTTTCTGTCACGCATCCTATGAAAGAAGAAATATTATACTTATATGTATTGTGCATTGTAAGCATCGTATATTTACGTGGAATATGTATGTGTGTGTGTGCGTGTGTAAATATCCGTACAACCAAAATTCTCTTATTTTTTTTTCTTATGAAACGCAAATTTCGTAATTGATTATTTTTTGTAAACAATATCTGCTTTATTATGGCAACGATCGTTTCAATTACATTTTTTTGCGATATTTTTGATATCTTATGTTAACCATACATAGATTCAATCGTATTAGATTTTATTACTTTAACTTTCGCGTCGTTAAATACATTTAAAATATGTAAAAGTGTAATTATATTTTAAATCCATTTTGTAATGATATTACAAATATATCATGTTTATTTTTATTTCTGCAAAACGTGATTAAGTATTTAATTTTTATTATTTTGTAGCTGATAATTAGTCGATTTTATTTTGAAGATATATTTGATATATTTGGTAGATATTTCTTGTCAGTAGGTTAAAATACTCTGGTCAGATAACAAAAATTCATTTCCATTATTACAATATCGATAATAATATCAGAGTTTTTTTCCAGATATTCTTATTTGAATACTTATTCAATTTTTGCTTTTGAATAGAGAGTTATATAGTGAACGAACCATACAATATCCACCTAATATATTATATATACGCATCTAATATTATCTAAAATCAGAATACCGGTTTGAATACAAGTTTTTATAAAAGCGTATCTTTTTTTTTGACCTGGTCCTTGAACTTACATAACCGATTTTTTTTTTTTTTTTTGCAACTAAGTTAGTCAATTTAAGAATATCCTATTGGTACGCCATTGCTCGTCTCGCGTGTAATATAAATCTGCTTATTTTTCATTGCGTTTGCGAATGCATTATTGCGTTATGCATACCTCGATATTTAATAACTCAATCTAATAAGATACATTTCTTTTTTTCTTTTTTTCTTTTTCTTTTTTTCTTTTTTTTTTTTTCTAATTTTATATTAATTCTTTTCTTATTATTTTGATATTCAAATTATGTGGATTTAAATTATTATTATTATTATTATCGTTCGAAAAAAGACAATTTTTTTTCTCAATATACAAAAAGATTCATACACGGAAGTGATAACAACGAGCATGTATAATCTAACATAAATTATATGTCATACGTGGGTTATGGGTACATGGTGGAAAGGGTTATATACTTGACGTTATAGTAAAGGGATACAAATGGTGTATACGTATATATATATAAATATGCGGCTATAAATTTATTTCTTCAAAAAAAAAAAAAGAAAAAAAAAAAGAAAAATTATTATTCTTCACAAAAGGTTATAGTATATTCATCCAAACTAAAAATAAATCGTACTAATTAGTTATTCCGTTAAAAACGAAAATAAATATTTAATACGCGATAAATATATATTATTTAATACCAATACATATGCATACACGAATATATAACAAATGAATGAATATATTTATTAGATAAAATAAGATTAAATAATAATAACACGTTTATATTTTCTATATATATATATATATGATGAAATAAAATTCAGAAAAATATTATAGAGATACAGATTCACACAGAAAAATAAAAGACGTTCGACCAGACGAAGAATAAATCTCCCATACCATATGATATATTAATGTTTAAATATACATATTATATAGTACGTGTTTCTACTAGCTACATTAGAGGAGAGAAAGAGAAAGAGGGAATTAGGAGGGGGTGGGAGAGGGGGAGGGGGAAGAGAAAGAGAGAGAGAAATATTCTTGATAAAAGCCTTAAAATATAAGATCGTAGCTTTCATAGTGATCGAAGAAGTAGTATAGCCAGACGTAGTCAGTTTTTTAGTAGCGGTTTGAACGTGAACGGCATCGGTTTAACGATTTCTTGATACTTTTCCGTATCGTTTCTCTTTCCTCCCTCGACGATTTATTATTGATCAATAACGACGTCCCACAGGCGTCTTTGAAAAATTTTAAATAATCAGGTGAGTTCGAGATAGGATTGATTTTTTATTTTTTTTGGGGGGAGGGTTTTCTCATACGCATTCGAATTTCTTTTATGTTTTTTTTTTCGATTGGAGACATCATCGAATGCCACCACACGTACACGCGCGCGTACAGAGTGTAAACAAAAAAAAACTTTTGTTAATTAGATTGTTTTTTAATCATTATTCGCGAACGGAAATTAAATTGTTTTAATCTTTATTTTGGTTGTTTGTTTGTTTTCTTTTGTTAATTTTTAACGATAATCAAAGTTAAAATAACACACGACCAATAAGCTTTAAGAGATTTGTATATAAGATGATTTTAAAATGATCGTCTTTTTATTCAATTTTGTAAAGAAATTCTGTTATCCCTGTTTTTTTTTTTCGATTTAATTCGATTTGATCTGTGTACTTTGTTGTTGTTGTTGTTGTAATTTGTATCATTTTAAAATACGTTAGAAAAAGAAACATCAAACATACAACGGACAAGTTCTTCATAGCTTTGCTACTTTCTAATTATTCTGCATTGAATTAGATATGATAAAGTAAAGTACAATTTTTATCTATCAATTTCGACTTTAAACGTAAATAACAAATTTCAATTCCATCGATATAAATATTTAAGATTTTTTATTTCGCACTTCTTCTGTATTGATTTTTCTTTATACCGATCGAGATTCTTTCGTTGTAAATTTTATGAAATTTTTGTTTTTCAATCGTTAGTACGTCGAAGAAAAAATAATGAATAATCGTGTTTGATGATATTGATAACACACCTATTATTTATGCTTTTAATTTAAATTTCAAATAATAATAGTATATCAATGCTATAATAAGCGAGATGTTATTACACATTATATATACATTACGTTAGATTATAGACTAATGAACCAAGGACATTATTGAAGTGCACAATCATGTATGTCATATTACTTATTTTCTTCATTATCTTTTGTATTAATTTTTATTCTCGTCTCGTCAATCATTACTGTCACTTATCTAAGAAAAATATGTAAGTAAGATATTTTTAATTTGAATGACCTTAAACAATATTTCATTGAAACAATCATTCGACAAGGTCAATGATTCGTTATTTAAGAAAAGAAAACAAAAACTACAAATATCTTTTATAAAATCAGCATTAGATATAATTAATTGAATTAATTAAAATATAAAAAAAAAAAAATTGTTATATAATATTTTCGAGACGAATACACCTGTGTTATGTACCAAATAAATCTTTCAAATGTCTTTGAATTTTTTTTCTACACACAATTCTTATTTTATTGCACGTATAAAAGAAGAAATAAATTTTTCAAAAAAGGATGCCAATTAAAATATGTTGATATATGATCGTTATAGAAACTGAAATAATTTGAACGTTTTCGTTACCTTTCAAATTTGTAACAATCAAAAATCTATAATGTAAACAAATTAAAATATCAAAATGTATAAACAAGTTAATATTAGAGGGTACAAATTTTGTATGTTTTTTTTTCTTCTTTTATTCCTTATCGTCGATAATACAATGCAGAAAGTTTACGTACTCTCGAATCGAATTGTTCGTTTCCCCATATGTCGTACATACGAAATAAGAGAATAAGTAAAATATACGTAAGTACTTATACAAAAATAAATACTTGTAGTATTTCGCAAAAAGTGAAATTGAACGTATACTTTCAAGGTGTAATCTTATTCTGATTAATTTTATATAATCTTGATGTTCTCTTCGATCTTATCCATGTCGGATGAAATATTTAAACATAAGAGCTTAATCTTTTGCTTTTTAATCCAATGTACAAAGACTAAGTTGCCAGTGTGATAGAAAATAAACTGAGTTACATGAAATGCGGAAATCAATCCCACATCAGCGATTCGATCCCTTTTATTAATATTGTAGTAAGAAGAATTAATGTCGGGTGTAAAAAAAGTAATTACAATAATTCCTTGTACAGTACCTTGACGATTACAAAGTAAACAATTGCTTTTAATGTATTCTATTCGATGTATTTCCTAAGCCATGTTTTCTTTATCGTAATGATTAAGAAGACCATGGAATAATCTCACATATATTTTCTGAAATCAGAATATCTTTTCATATATATTTTTAAATTTTATTCTTAGAATTTCCACTTAATTTACGAATAGAAATAAAGTAACATCTATAACATAAGAGATTCATCAAAGATCAAGATAACTAGATTTTAATTTAACAATAATCGAAGTCGTATATAAAATTCAATACGATGATCAATTTTTTTGTGAATTAGCATTTATCAAAGATCAATCATATAAACAAGATTTGCGATAAAAGTAAAGATTAGTCAAAATGTAATTTATTTATCAAGAATCTTTGATTTTGTTTTCACTTGCTTGTTTTGATATGTTTAATTGTATATAATTAATTGTATAATTACGATTGCAAAATTGCCGACACAATATAAAATTACTATTGGTGTGCATATTATAAAGGAAATGTATTTCTTATATTATTGAAATCATTATATATTTCATAAATAAAATAATTATTTTTTAATTTTTAGATCGCTGTTACAAGCAAATATGGATCAAGTGTATACAGGTTCACTAGTAGTCGTTAATTTACTTTGGACGTTTTTGAAAATGTTTTATTGTATTGGTGAAGCTATATATAAATTGCTCGTACCTATGAAAGAAAAAGACGTTAAAGGTGAAATCGTTTTGGTAAGCATAATAAATTTAGGGTATTGGATTTACGTAATAGAAAAATATTTTGTTTTGTAATAGGTTACTGGAGCTGGTCATGGAATCGGAAAGGAACTTGCTTTGAAGTATGCTTCTTTAGGAGCTACGGTTGTATGCTGGGATTTAAATCAAGAATTTAACGAAGAGACAGTTACGGAAATTAAAAAAATAGGCGGTACATTTGCTTATGGTTATACGTACGTTATTTGTTTTTAATTAAATAGAATTATCAGAGAAATCATTTTCGTGGACTTAATTTATTATCGATATTACGATTAACAACGATTAATTATAATCGATTTATTTTGCTTTTTTTTTTTATTTTTTCAGATGCGATGTCTCGAAGAGAGAGGAAGTATTAAAAGTCGCCGAAAAGGTTAAAGAAGAAGTTGGAAACGTTACGATATTAATTAACAATGCTGGTATAATGCCATGCCACTCGTTCTTGGATCATACGCCGGAAGAAATTCGAAATATATTTGACGTCAACGTATTGGCTCATTTTTGGGTACATTATTGATTTATCGATCGATCTGAAACATTCATTTAAATTGTATATAAAATACATTAGTGAATTTATTTTATCAGGTATTACAAGCTTTTTTGCCGAGCATGATAGAGAAAAATCATGGTCACATAGTCGCACTTTCTTCGATGGCTGGAATGATCGGATTGTCTAATTTGGTACCATATTGTGCATCTAAATTTGCAGTTAGAGGTAATAATCAAAAATACTGGGCATATGTAAATAATGAATTATTCATAGATATTAATTTTTTTATTTTATTTTTAGGTTTCATGGAAGCTCTTAGCGAAGAACTTCGTGAATATTCCAAAGGAAGAATCTCTAACATAAACTTTACAACTATTTATCCATACATAGTGGACACTGGTCTCTGTAAGAAGCCAAGAATAAAGTAAGAGACTTTAATAAATAATAATTATTTAAAAAAAAACAAAAATTATATATCATATTATAATATTTATATTAAACTGTGTAAAATTTACGTCTTGTTATATTCGCACGCAGATTGGATTGTTGGACTCAAGGTGGTATGTTACAATAATCCTATGCGATAAATGTTATTATTTAATATATAAGATATTTTGTAATAAGGTCCACTAGTTACAGGATATCCTGCATAAATAATCGTTTAAAGAATTTAATTGTTTTTTGGATACTTAAGATTTTATATGTATTATCAATTATTCAATTTTGAAGGTTCAAGAACTTCATGGCGATGCTTTCACCGAAAGAGGCTGCTAATATAATAGTCAGAGCACAAAGAATGAACTGGTCAAACATATCCATTCCTAGATACTTGCTCGGAATGAACACAATATTTAGGTAAATAATATCGTAAATATCGAATATAAATGCAAATTTGAAGAGAATTATTTAAATCATTATTATTTTCTTTTTTATTATAGAGTTTTTCCTGAAAAATCATCAAACCATGTAAAAGACTTTTTTGATACTGGTATAGAAGCAACATAATGAGTTGTTAATAATTATAATGAATATTTTTCATATTTTATTAAGTTATATACATAAATTCGATGTAATATTTGTTGTATATAACTATATATATACAGGTAACCCCCGAAGGACACGATTAATTGGTTTCGTGTTCTTTGAAATCGTTTTATTCGAGACTACAAAAAACGATATTCCGTTTCAAGTGTGAAAATAAAAAAAAAGCGTTACGTTTTAAATTTTCTTTTTGTTAAATATAAAACTACAAGTTTTTATTGTTTGTGAATTCATATTGGTAGATACTTCTAAAAAATCTTGTATTACATATTTCAAATTAATTTTTCAATTAGTTTTAAAAAAATGTTTTATCTCTTAAATTTTATATATTAATTATTTATATTAATTTATATTTTATTTCTTTTTCAAAAGAATTACTCGAAAATTGTGTAGTTTGGAACCGCATAATTCGGGGAAAGGTATCCGTGCTTTCGAAACTCGTGTTCCTTAAGTACCCTGTTTTTCGGGAGTTACCTGTAGTTTCCTTATATCAGACATGAATCTATCAATTGAATGATTTTGAACGATGTAATTATTATGAACGAAAGTCTACACACACACGTATTAATTATTTTTAATTTTAATAATATAAATAACAGAGAGTTTTATACTCTTAACGTAAGTTAGATATAACTATTATTTATTAGTAAGAAAAACATTTTTAACTTGCCAGTGTGAAGTTTTTTTCGGACTATGACTATCTTGATACATGTGTTCAGTGCGTATTTAATATTTACTAATGAATAAAAAAGAAAATACGCTTTGCACTATTTTATTTGCTATAATTAATTTTTATTAAATTTTTACGATTATATATTATGTATTATATGATAAAAGATTTGTTAATTAAGAAATCAGTTATTATTACAATAAATAGAGAAATTTTGAATAAATAAATTAATCGATAAAATAATAAATGTAAAAAAATAATAAATAAAAGTAAAATAATAGATCAATTTATTTCTAGATTTCATATATAAATGTAAATATTGACAATATTCAAAATACGTCCGATCTCCTTACAAAAGAATACAGAAATATAATATATAGCTCACAAATCCTCTTTTTTATCTACCCAGATTCATCTTAGTTACTACCAGGACCACAAGTGGGCGATAGTAGGTACTTAACGTGATAACGGTACAATACTACCAAAGAAAACAGTATTCTTTGATAGTATATGATAATATATGATATATTCTTTAATAGTATATATATTATAGTTATATTCTAATAGAATTTTAAATAATTATTTTTAATTTATAGTGTATAAACATGTGTGTGCCTTCAGAAATGCATTTATTTAAAAAAATTAATCATTTGAGAAAAATTTCCAAGATTTGTTGTTAAATCCTACGACGATCACCTGTAACAGAAAGAAAATTATATTAATTATACAATCAAGTGATACAATAGCCTGACATAATAATCGTCCAATTCGCAGATGCACTTTTCAATTGAATTTTATATTTATTTTTATCAAATCTCTAATTTACCGTTGCAATTAAATTAAATTTAAACACGTGATTTTACAATTAAATAAAATATATATATATATAAAAAAAGGAAAAGTACAAATATTAAATTACTAAAAAAATAATATCTAATAGTTATTATGAAATACTTGTAAACTGCATTATATAGAAAATAACCATTGCAAATTTGATCACAGTGAACAATTGTAAAGATGAAATAAGAAAATAGAAATTACTGTAATATTTAACTAACGTTAATTAAGTTTCTAAATTATATAATACGAAAATTTTAATATTTTTGACTCTAACTAAACACATATGCATCTTTTGGACGATTTTGAGGAACACAAATTTGGTGTCCCAAGGAGATGGAATGGTCCATCATCTCCAATTACAATTATAAATTAATGACGAGACAAAAAGTAATATAATAAAATATAAAATATGACTAGAGAGCTATTTTCGTAAAGTTCGAACTTGCTGTTGATCTTTTGAAAATAACTCAATAGTTTATGTAGTTGCCCTCTTGATCCACAATTAAGTGGGGGCCTCTTCGGCATTTAGCCTCTTCTTTCTTCATGCCCTAAACGCTGCTGTGAGGCTTTTTTTAACATTTACTTGAATGCCTCAACAGATATTTGATCTAACCGATGAACTTATTATTAACACTTTGCATTAAAAAAATTAAATAATATCAAACAAAAGCAGGAACTTTGTCATACATCTTATGATATTACTTTTTTACTCGACCACTTTTATCTTTTATCTTTATTCTACTTTGTATTTACTRTACATATACAAAAAATGAAGTATTTTCAGTAGGAATTACTAAAGAGCAAAGTGTTAATATACTTAATATTAAGTAAGTATCCAACGTATTCAGCTATCTTCCCTTTTTCGAAAAAAACTTAATTTTTAAGAAAATGCAAAGACTTTCGAATCGTTCGATACTGATTTATATCTCGCAGTACAGAGTATCAGCAATATATGGAGAAAATACAAGAAATATTTAACTGATAAATAAATCTAAAGGTTGCTGAAACTTTGTATAATATCCGGARAAGAAATTGTCCACTCCTGAGTGGAAATTACAATCGCGCGACTTCTTCGGTCTCTACCTACTTACAAATTAAATAAACATTCACACTTAAGTATGCTACCTGCCTTTATATTGGCACTATTTAAAAAGAACAAACGTACATACATACCCACCCACTCACTCCACGATTCTCACACATACCACCAGGGTGCAAAAGCCTAAACTAGAGAGCATGCCCCGGGGCACCTCCGACACCCCAGTTCAAACACGTTTTCTAAATTTATGAGAGTACGTACCAATTGCTGTAATCGTCTATCAAGGTTAGTGATCATTGCATAAATGATTAATGCAAAAATACAAGTATAAACTAGTATATATGCATACTAGTGTTATACAAGTATATCATAGTTTCCGCAAATAAATGCAGTAACTCTACTATGCAAAACGATTGTTAAAAAAAAAAAGTTCGTATCGTACGCGTGACTCTACAAGTTATTGTTATTCAATAACTTTAAAAAATAATAAGCGCGGTATTACGTATCGCGAAACGATGTACAATGCACACACCTAAACGCACACACCTAAACGCACACACAAGTGCAATGTACACCGTGCAATCACTAGCACAATGACAGCCGCCAATAGGTGGGAAAAACTTAAAACTAAACCCATACCAACCGTTTCTCANGGGAAAAACTTAAAACTAAACCCATACCAACCGTTTCTCACCCATACGTGTAACACCTGGGCACACGCATAAATGAGAACGCAGAAAGTATGGGGGGAGAAACGGGAGATTAGTATATTAGAAGCTGAAAATCCTGATCTAAAAAAACATAATTAACATACATAAATACATTAAATTTTATAACATATATCAAAACATTTTATTTCATCTCTAAACGGGCTAAGACTCTACAAGTCATTTGGATTTGACTTCTTGATTATGCAAGAAAATTGTTAAATTTAATTATTTAATATTTAAGAATTTTAAAAAAGGAAAATAAATATATATAAACAACCTCGGACGATTCCTTTCATTAAGTTGGCTGTTCTAATAAAAGAACTGGGCTTTATGCCACCACTTAACTGCTAGAATCTATCCGTGCGAATGGGTTTGTCTTCTTGCTCATTTATTTATAATATCGAGGTATCGATATATCAAAATTAATCGCGATTAGATAAATTAAGTACGAAGCAATGCATGTAAGACATTTATTACATGCTTTTCTGGGCGAAAACGAGTAAATTAATGCTCGGTTTCACCACTATTAACCACGAACAAAACACGTAATAAAAAATGAAGTGCATTAATTTATTGCACTATTAATTAAATGAATTTAACCGATGAGACAAGAAAACCTATCCTGAACTAATATAAAATATACAATACAATATATACAATTATCATGAGTAACTCCTAAAAAGGAATTACTCATGTGCTCGTCACTAATTTATTTAAATAATTACAACCAGTAATTCGTGCCGATTAGGACCTTTCATCCTCGACATGAWTGAGCACYRGAGGGACTTTAAATTTTTTDACTCACTSYRTAAGAAGTTCTACGATGGCTCCAAAACACTCCTACTTTGCAGCAAGTATTGTAGTCTGACGATCGAAGAGTTGATATTGAAGAAGATCCATCGAAGATCCATCGAAGATCCATCGAAGAATTCATCCCACATCTTTGATAAGGCAGAAAGTCCGTCGTCATATCTGTAAAATAAAATAGAACAAAATGATAAGTTATATGTAATATGATCCAAAATCATATCAAACAAAAACGAATAAAATGTTAATAAAAATGAATAC